TGGCTGCAGCCTGGTTACCAAAGGGATTGGTATCTGTACGACATAAACTGCCCGGCACAAGAAAATGTACACCCATGTTTGGCGGTGGTTAAAAATGAAACAAACAAGAAATGGTCATTCGATGGTGATACATTTGATACGAGTGTCATTGATTTCTTTAGGACCATAAGTTTGCGGTGTTTTCAGCCAAGTAACTTTTTGACGTATTTTTTTGCCAAATCCAATTTTCAAGTCACTGTGTATACTTTCTTTTGCCGGGCAGTGTATATTGCAGTCACGATAGCGGTAGAGCTAAAAAAAAATTTCGTTCAGTAAATGGTCTAAATGAATAAGTTAGTTGGGTTCAACGTCCTTTGGAAAGTATTTCAAAGGCGTTTAATATGGGAAAAAAACTAATTGACGCAGGTCGTCGACGTTATATTATATAACAACAATCTATTTATATGGCGCCGAGTTCCAGCTTGGCTGCTCGCATGCGCTTGACATGAAAATCATGTACAGAAACGTAAAAGTGGTATTTACGTACGTTTCCAACGTGGACCAGAACAGATTCCCCAACTATGGATCTACCCCATGGTTTGCAGAAACCAACGAGCACGGTAATGACAGAGCGAGGTTTGGGCTGGACCCTACATGAGTGAGTGAGTGAGTGAGTGAGTGAGTGAGTGAGGGAGGGAGGGAGTGAGGGAGGGAGGGAGGGAGGGAGGTGGGTGGGTGGGTGAGTGAGTGAGTGAGTGAGTGAGTGAGTGAGTGAGTGAGTGTTCATGTACAGTGTGTCAGTTCAGTGAGAGGGGAAAGTCGTTTCGAGGCCAGATGGTAGACCCCTCTATATAACCATGGTAACACAAGTGTCACAGTGTGGGTGAACGTATTTAAATTGCTCAGGTCAGAAATATTCGAGCATGGTCACTACGGCCCGGAAACAATCAAATCCCAACATGGAAAACCAGAGACTAAAAGCATGAGCAACGATCAATGTCTTTGAGACACAATGACACGCATTCAGAGAAGTCACAAAGCTTAAAACCAAGCTTGGGTTTTATCAGCAAAATCTGTCCACAAGTGTAATTATAAAACACTTGAGTATTATTACGAGGTTAAAATTGGGTTGGCGTCATGTTCAAGATTATACCACTTTTATAGCACCCATTTTGATTTCACCTGTTTAATTGCCATTTTGTCATGCTTTAATATACGCGACCGCCCCTGTGGTCTAGTGGTAGCGCGTCTACCAGGAGAGCCGAAGATATCAATATCCAAAAGACATTAAAATATGGTACTCCTTGTTACCCTGCCTGGCGCTCGGCATTAAGGGGCTAAAACATAGACTTGTCGGCTCGGTGTCAGTATACTGTGTCTGAATAGGGTAATCATGTTAAACTGCGACATGGTATCTCAGTGGGCAAGCACTATAACATTGGCACTAGTTCGGACTTGTACAAGCAGCCACACACGCGCACGCACAGGCGCACGCACCCTTGCAAGCACGTTACTATATAAATGCAATAATCTTGAACGTGACGTTATACCCAATTTCACAATACCTAAACAAAAGCGGATATACACTTTCCACAATCATAAGAAATAGGGTGTGTTGTGGCTGCTTAGTCCAGATTTATGCCGGGTTTTTTTTGCTAGCCTACCGAGATACCATGCCGCAGTTTAACATGAATGCATCACTCGTACACAGTATACTGACTTCGAGCCGACCAGTCCTTGTGTTACTCCCATTAACGCTGTGTTGCCAAGCACTAGGCAGGGTAAAAACAAATACCATCTTTAAAATATTTGGTATGACGTGACCAAATCACTGGTTTGCATAATCAGACTCGTTTATTTGCAGATCGTATTGATATAGGTTCTTTATTGTTCATAACAGCATCAGACGTTGATAATAATAACGTATTAATATCGATTGACTTCCTTTGAATCGCCTCCGTGGTCTAGAGGTCCGCCCGGAGAGCAGAAGGTCCGGGGTTCGATCCCCGGCCGCGTCATACCAAAAAACGTTTAAAGATGGTACTTGTTGTTACCCTGTCTGCGCTCGGCATTAAGGGGCTAAAACAAGGACTTGTCGGCTCGGAGTCAGTAAACTGTGTCTGAGTGGGTTATTCATGTTAAACTGCGGCATGATATCTCAGTGTGCTAGCACTATAAATCGGCATCAGTCCGGACTAGTACAAGCAGCCACACAAACGTGCATGCACGTCGCTATATAAGTGCAATAATCTTGGACGCGACGTTAAACCAAATTTCATTTAAATATACAATTACCTTTATCTCTTTAGACAGGTTGATTTATTGAGGTAAACCATTTATTCTAAAATCATTTATCTCAATTGGATTAATAAGGAAAACCTCACCTTCAAACGTCTTCCTCGCAATTATTTCCAAACCAGGAGCGTCGTTAAATAAATGGTTTCAATTTGTTGAACATACCCGACTTGACGTTTGTCATCTTCCCGAGGCACCAGTGTCCACTAGCCAATTTTAAAGCCTTGTTTCCATTTGAAATGGCAAGGGTGAAAACTAGACTTTGATAAAGGCTAGTGGACACGCCTGCCTCGGGAAGATATCGTATTACATACTAATACTAATACTTTACAAAATTAATAAAGATTCCACAAAAACCCCGGGTTCAATAATTCCATGATAATCTATAGAATATACAGAACCACCTATGACATGTTTGACCCAGACATTTTGGGGTCAAAGGGTAAAACGGTTTTTCTGGGGGAAATGTCTCTCTGCAGACTGTACGGTGTTCCCCATCATTACATAATAACTGGAGGCAGAAGAGCGGGAAAGTCCGGACATCTCTTCATTGCGGACTGAGGAGATCCTACAACCTGATGGCCGCATTGTTGAGGTTATTGTGATCATCCATTATTATCACACAATTATTTTGTGCGTGTGTTGCAAGTACATTCTTACCGCGGTGGTAAAGTTGATATAGACATGATAATGATTATGAAAAAAGGTTTGAACGATAATGTAGCACATCCATAAAACTGTTATTGATAATTCTGTTTAGTTGGGCTGAGGATGAGACTTTCTCTCTCGTTTGTCATCTTCTTCTTCACTTAAGCACTTAAGATGTCACCTTTTGCCTTTGCAATCCCAACTGATGAAAGTATTGCAACCATGATTGTGTGTATGCGGCGTTGTGTGTGTGTGTGTGTGTGAGGGAGAGAGAGAGAGAGAGGGGGGGGGGGAGAGGGAGCGAGAGAGAGAGAGAGAGAGAGAGAGAGAGAGAGAGGGGGGGGGGAGGGAGAGAGAGAGAGAGAGAGAGAGAGAAGCGGATGTGTTTTGGGGCTATAAGGCGACCTTACTCAACACATTCATACACAACAGATGTGGGTAGGCGGTGCAACATCCAGTCATTTATATATTCATCTACGCACTTCACTTACACACACCAGCGTATACACACGCATTGCATACACCTATACATTCTCTCAACCATCCCCCTGTAATCGTCATTAGTGATCACTGTTTGTTTCCGTGACGCTCGCATATCAAATACATATTTCTCAAAAAATCCATAGTATCACTCCTCTAATACACCTGAAAGTGTTAATGGAAAAAAGAAGAATCTGTACATGAATGTCCTAGCCTATTTATATTATGGACTGTCTTTCGAGAACACCCGGTGTCATCACTGATTTTCAGTGATCTATTCATATAAATTTCACCGCTATTTTGCCTTTCACGCCCCACGTAATCAGAGTCGGCAGATAATCGAGACTGATTATTCTCTGGTGTCGTTTTATATTTTAAACAGTTATTTGTATTGTTTATATCAGTTCACAAAAACTTTAACTGACCACCAGAAAAATGGTTTATTGATAAGACGGTGCATAAATATCAAATAAATATGTTTTATCGATTGGTATGACTTGCCACCGTACCACATAACTGACGGACAAAATATAGCATGCACTGTTTTTGTTTGATGGTGGCTCAAAATGAAACAAAAAACGAAATGATTATTCGATGGTGATGTATTTGATACGGGTAATGACAGCTGTGTTAAGTTTGTAACGTTTGTACCTTTTTGGTCAAATCCAATTTTCAAATGAGTGAGTAGTGTTTAACGACGCTTTTAAAAGTACGCCATTTATATCACGGCGTGTTAACTTAATGTGGGAGAAAAGCCCGAAGTGATGCAGGTCTTAGACGTTTACCACTTCGGTGAAACCCACGAGCACGGGCATGGTGCTGACAAACCCAGAAATATAATCAGGGCGAACCGGGATTCGAACCGACAATCAAAGGTTTCTGGCGTGCCCAAGGGACGCAACTCTGCACAGCGAATCGTGGCGCCTTAGACGACTGGGCCACCCGTGCCCCCAAATTTTCAAATGAATACTTTCTTTTGCCCGGCAATTTATACCTCCTGTTATTGTCTCTGACTTATGTGTGTGGGAAAGGTAACCTTTTAGAAAATTAAATTGTTTAAAGCATATTATATGACAGTATACGTATTTTGCTTCCTATAAAACAATAACATTAGTGAGCCATTTACAAGTATATAAATCTATTTTTTAATAATTTTTTTATAATCACGTCAATGGATACATCATGTTATAATTAAAGGGTGTATTTCATTATATAAATATAAATCTTGCTATTTACGTTATTTAAACATGTTTAATTGTGTATTCGGATCAAAATCTGTTTCCCATAAAAACATATTACGTCACATTATATGTATATTTGTTCCCGCTGAAAGGAGTTGGCTTAGTTTTAATACCTTCCCTATACACACCCAACAAGCCGTGGTAAATGTTATTGTTGGTAAACACCGACTGTACGATCTACACAGTGTAATCATTATCGAACCGCGCCAGTCAGTAAAGATTACTAATTCAATAATGTAGACTGGGTTAATCTAAGATCAGCTTGACAGTGAGATCGGGGCTTCCCCAGGGCTTGTCGTGTTCCGATTGTGACGTCATCCCGCAAGCGGCAAGGTGAATGGGATTCTAAAAATAGCATCAAACCGGTTACTCGTGAACAGGTTGAAACGGTGGCGCGTTCATCGAGCAGATGGCATAGCTTCGGGAAAGAAATTGACCGACATCCGACAAAACCCAAGAGCTTTGCCCTTCGATACAGTTTCAGAATGACCAACCGACAGTTCAGTTTTCTTATTTTCGTCCTGTTTCTTCTCCTTGCGGCCCTAGCACTGACTCTTATCGGAGTGTTGACCGAGTACTGGTATTTTGTTGAAGCCGATTCGAACCTAAACGAGACTATGCAGCGAGAGTGGAACTATAATTATGGATTGTGGAAAAAATGTTACCCTGACATACCCCAAGGTAGGTGTATGTGTATATTTACATAGAAAGTGTCACCACTCATGGTCATTTTATTTTGAAAATATTAATAAATGAGGTCATGTGTCGAATATAGGACACGGAGTGTGATTATGATATGCTTCCGCGACCGGACAAGTCCTATTTTCATAAGATATTCCTGCCTGTGTACCTGTGCATAATCGTCAACGTAGGGTCTATTTATGTGACAATACTGGTATAAGAAGTATTTATTCAAATGTGATATCGTTCTACTACACAAAATACCACGTGATTGACTGACAGTCGTGCATGCCTTCCTTGTACATTTCGGAGTCGCCATGGCAACCAGGTAGATATCACAGCAATCACAAGGGCGTGATGACATCGCATATTCAACATTTTATGGCGTAGGGTGTGTTACTAGTACTTAAGTAGGGAGTTGATAGATTCTAGTTACGGTGTAGTTGATTGTACGAATAGATATTGATTTGTTTTCGCGGTGTGTGTGTTCGGCTACGCACGTGACCTAATGGTGTGCTTGGACGTGACAATGTTGTGGTATTGGATTTTAAGGTATGACCGCAATCACGGCACGCTGTTTGAGTATTGTAAGCAAGTGAGTTTATGATTGTGGGTAATGTCCAGATCAACCTTTAGCCAAAGGAGAAATGTAAATACACAAACACACATTATAATAAATAACTATGTAGCTATCCATTTATGATAATATTGAAGGCACTGATCCATTTATTTTCGTAACATGCAATTAAACACGAATGGTATGCGTAAAGATGTACACTGACATGTGAATCAGATCTAGAGCATAACGATATCACACAAAACACGGTAATAAAATGTCAATGTATTGAACACACCTGACATGACATGTCAATGTGTTAGTGCAAACATGTCAATGTGTTAGTCAAATCGTATCATTGTAATTAGTCAAACATGCTAATGTATCAGTCAAAAAGTGTCATTGTATTGGACAAAACATGGAAATGTTTAAGTCAAACATAATAATATTGTAGTCAAAATACGTCAATGTATTAGTGAAACAATAATGTATTGGACTACATGTCAATGTATTGGTCACATAATTTATCAGACAAAATATGTCAATGTAGTTGTCAAACAATAATGTATTAGACGAAATATGTCAATGTATTAGCCAAACATAATATTGAATTGGACAAAACATGTCAATGTTTTGGTCAAATAATGTGCTAGACAAAACGTGTCAATGTATTAGACAAACATCATAACGTATTATACCAAACATGTCAATGTTTTGGTCACATAACGTTTTTGACAAAACATGTTAATGGATAAGAACAAAATAATAAATTAATGTATTAAACAAAATATGACAGTTTTTTAGTCAAACATAATTGTGTATTAGTGAAAACATCAATGTTTAAGTCAAACCATATCAGATTATTAAATTGTCAATGTATCGGACAAAATACATCAATACACTGGTCAAAACATGTAATTTAATAAAACAGTTCATATGCAAAACAACATGTCCACGACTTTTGTATTTCATGAGTGAGTGAGTATGGTTTTATGCCGCTTTTAGCAATATTCCACCAATATCACGCCGGGGGACACCAGAAATGGGCTTCACACATTGTACCCATGTCGGGAATCGAAGCCGGGTCTTCGGCGTGACGAGCGAACGCTTTAACCACTAGGCTACCCGACCGCCCCTGAATTTCATTAGACACCCGGCCATGTTACACATGTGTACCGGGCACACAGACCCACCAAACTATACAACATGTCGACACAATGGTACGTTTTATTATGTTGCGCAACATATGCATATGCTACACTCATGCTTCACGACTTCAGAAACAACCCATTGAAAAGGAAAAGGACAAAAAGTGCCATCGAAACTGCCTCAGTATATATATATCCATGTATAGGATCGGCCCTTCGCTTCATCGGTCATGCATACGTGAAATATGTTGAGGTATATTAGAAGGAGAAATACAATATACATGGTAAATATAAGGATGAGATGCGACTATTGAAGGAAATTAGTAGGCGTTCCGAGCTGATCGTTGTGGCGGATATTGCAACAACCTTGTCATTCGTAGTGCCTTTTCTGTTGTGTAACCTGCTTCTCAATCTGTTCGGGGCGGTCGGGTAGCCTAGTGGTTAAAGCGTTCGCTCGTCACGCCGAAGACCCGGCTTCGATTCCCGACATGGGTACAATGTGTGAAGCCCATTTCTGGTGTCCCCCGGCGTGATATTGGTGGAATATTGCTAAAAGCGGCGTAAAACCATACTCACTCACTCACTCTCAATCTGTTCCTTCAGTTATACCCTGATGTGTCTGTTGACACAGTTTGAATAAATCACAGTGGTGGTTATACCCCGGAGTTTGCTTTAGGACATTAGAATTTTGTGTAGACATTATTCTGAGCGTCAAGTTCAAGTTGTAGAAAGGGTTTATAGAAAAAGGCCCTACCACACCTGAACACGGCCACAGACGCTCTGGTCAAAGTTCTTTTTTGTTTGTGGCCAACTTTTAATGCAGCTGTTTTAACCTTTTAGTGTGGCCATTTTAAATTTTGTTTAGTGTGGTGACAAGGGCATCTTCCCGAGGCAAGAGAATTTACTGACTATACAAGTCCAGTTTCCACCCTTGCCGAACTAGGCTGCAATTATGGAGTTACATTTTGGCTGAACTAACGATTTTATTCCAATCGAAATCGCGCAACGAACTGGACATCCGGTTCGTAAACAACATGGATTTCAACGTGAAGAGGGGGCACGGATGGCCCAGTCGTCTAAGGCGCCGCGATTCGCTGTGCAGAGTTGCGTCCCTTGGGCACGCTAGAAACCTATGATTGTGGGTTCGAATCCCGGTTCGCCCCAATTTTGTTTCTAGGTTTGTCAGCACCATACCCGCGATATGACTGGAATACTGTTAAAAGCGGCGTTAAACCCAAATTACTCACTCACTCACTCAACGTGCAGATTTTTGTCGACAGCAAGATTTGCAAAGCATGTGTACCGCCAACTGGGCGTCGACAAATAAATTCTTTAATGTTTTTGATCAAAGTGCTCACGTGATTTGATGAACATCGCGAGGTAAGACCCGTTTTATTACACTATAGATCTTGATTATCAATCAGATCGTCTTGACTGGTCGCCGCCATTTTGTTTGAAGCCAATGCAAGTGAAATGGAATCTGATTGGTCAGTAGGAGGAACATATAAGGGACATAACTCGTAATAGCCATTGGTGGCGCTACGATCGAGCCTGGACATTCCAGCCTAGTTCGGCAAGAGTGTAAAGTGGACTTTTTAAGTCAGTTAACTTCCTTGCCTCGGGCAGATGTGACTAGGGTGTCTGTGGCCCTTTTGACCTCTTCTTCTTTAGAGGGTGGGGGATGACCTTTTTATGTGGCCGTTTTGACTTTTTCATGTGTCTGTGTGGACAAGAGTGTCCGTGAGCCCTTTCACCTGTTCCCGTAGAAAGTAGGTTTATATACTTGTGGTTGTACTTCATCGTCGCCGGGGGCACGGGTGGCCCAGTCGTCTAAGGCGCCGCGATTCGCTGTGCAGAGTTGCGTCCCTTGGGCACGCCAGAAACCTATGATTGTTGGTTCGAATCCCGGTTCGCCCCGATTATATTTCTAGGTTTGTCAGCACCATACCCGTGCTCGTGGGTTTCACCGAAGTGGTAAACGTCTGAGACCTGCATCACTTCGGGCTTTCCTCCCACATTAAGCTGACACGCCGTGATATAACTGGAATATTGTTAAAAGCGGCCTTAAACACAGATCACTCACTCACTCATCATCGCCACCGTGCAAATTATCATAAGTAATCAATCATTTATTTTAAGAAATGAAGTAAAACTCATTTCAAAACAATTATCAAACATTTTCACACATTCATTTTCCAAAGACGTTACAGCGGTAGGTCACGTGTGAAATCAACAACCCTAGGAAGACATTTCAGTACGCCATGTCAATTTCGGCCTATATAGAACAAACATCTCTTTGTTCGTCGCTCTCGTGTGATGTGAACTGAGCAGTGGTATCCTTACAGCGATCTTTATCCTTACGCTAACCACATGTCTCCATTTACGGGTGTCGCCTGTTCAAGATGACCAGCTTTCTGCTTGTTATTAGTTCAATTTCCTTTGTTGTGAGAAAATCCGGGAATAATGAGCGGGTATTATGTGTCAGTGATAGCGAGGGAGAATACTGGATGTGTGACAAGGGGCGAGACGAGCTTGATGCCCTGGATTGACTGGTGACAGGCTAGGTTCTTCATCATTAGAGAAAAACTAACGAAAGGCTTTGACGACACAGATAACTATTTTCCCATCTTCTACGTTTCTTTGATAAGAACGTGGATTTGTTACAAGACTATCCCCCGAGGAACGTCAATGTCCGGCGATTATGTACTCCTACAGGTTGGGCTGAACGTTGTGAAATGAATGTCAGTGTTTTCCTTATAACGAGGCTGTGGGGTAGCATAGTGATTAAAGCGTTGTCTCGTCACGCCGAAGATCCAATGTCTCCTCTCCCAATTTCTGGTGTCCCCCGCCCTGATATTGCTGGAATATTGCAAAGCGGCGAAAAACCATACCCACTAAATCCGTATCATGATATAACGTTTCATTGAACTATCTGTAATGAATGTCAACATCTCTGGTATTTGTTGAGGGTCATTGTGGTAAATCTCAGTCCACGTTGTTAATTGAAATGTTAATAAAACCACGAGTAGGGTTACTCACCGTTCTAATATGTTTAGCAATAGGTGAGTGAGTGAGTTTGATTTTACGCCGCTTTTAGCAATATTCCAGCAATATCACGGCGGGGGACACCAAAAATTGGCTTCACACATTGTACCCATGTCGGGAATCGAACCCGGGACGTCGGCGTGACGAGCGAACGCTTTTACCACCAGGCTACCCGACCGCCCCTTTAGCAATAGGACAGGAATACTGCACCTGGGGTACTAACTCTGTTTCGTATGGAGTTTCCCTGTGTA